AACTACTTATATTTAAACTCAAACAACACAAAATTCATGAGGTTCTTTTTAAATCAAATTTACTTGCATCTCAACTCTAACAACTCAAATCTCAGCAACAACTTACACAATGAACTTGCATAAGAAACTAATTTCTAGTTCAAAAAAGTTAATTTTACATTCTATTATACAGTTAGGGTTTGGTGGCATAATTTTTCATAGAAAGAAGAAAAAATTTGTGGTTAAATAGAAATTCAATGAAAAAAATATTTAAAATCCTCTTAACAAATAGACAATTACCAGGAATGGGATGAACAAACATTGTCGACGTGGTGTAGGAATCGACGGAGACATCCATGGTGGAAACGTCTGTAGTGATTGTTGGTGTAAGGTTTTTAAATTATGAAGACTAACATTATCCCAAGATCACGATTTCTCTTTGTTCCTTAAATCATCGATGAAGCCCTAGAATAGATAAACAACAAGGAGATGGAAGATGATGGTGGTAGTGGGTAGAAATGTGAATGACGATTAGGAAGTGGGTTTGTTATAAAGTTTGAAAACCGATATCCCTAATTTGAAGGGTTATTAATTGAATTAAATTTTATGATAAATAATTGTAACTAAGATTACCATTATGACCTTATATTATTTATTAATAGAATTATTCTTAAAATATGATTAGTTCCTACGTCCACACAAAAGATGTCAATCTACATATAAACCTAGGTATATATATATATATATATATATATATATATATATATATATATATATATATATATATTACTTTATAACCCGTGAGAACCACGGTTTTAAAATTAATTAAACTTTCATATTAAAAAATCAAAATTATTAATCAATTATTTTAATTAAATTATTATTTAAAAGAAATTTTTTAGTTATATAAAATTATAATCGTTGATTTAAGTAAATACGTGAAGTTATATCACCTTATAATCTGTATTAATTTTATTTTATATTTTAATCTAATGTTATTAATTTAATATAATTAGAGTGGAAAAAATTTAAAATGGAGAATCAATTATTAATTTAATGTAATTAGAGTGACAAATTTGAAATTTGAAATTGATAATTAATAGGTTGATAAATGACATGATATGTGACATATAAATATTAATGATGAGTTCTAATAGTATGACATTTGTCAATAGGAGAATAAACCTATTCATTTATTAGATTAGGGATATATATATATATATATATATATATATATATATATATATGCAAAAGTGAATATGTGGTTGTTAGGTATGTAAGCTTATATATAGAGGTCAAAAGAACTACATTTAATTTTGATTAAATCATTTATAATAATAAAATTTTATTTTTTTCCTCTGCATTTTCTCATAATTTATCTCCAACATAATATATCTTTCATCATCTTTCATCTTATCCCGACTTAATTACTATTCAAATCACCATTAACATATCCTAAATAAAACAACCTAACAAAGTAGACTACAAATATTTTCTTTCATTTGCAATAAACAATTCATGATTAAATAAATAACTCAACATTATTATAAACTTCATCATATTATTGTTTATTCGTTTCTTATTCTTATGATGCTGAAGTTGATTTTAAGGTTCTCGTAGCTCATAACATATATGTTCGCAAATGAAAAGAAATTGATATTTTTTATTAAATGGTTGTAAGATTAAGGATAAATTATATGACTAAGATATGGAATTTAAATAAGAAGAAAGTGTTTTAATTTATTTTTATTGAAACGACATAGCTTCATATATAATTTTATCAAGTTCTATACCTACGCTTACATACATGACAGTCACGTATTCACCAAGCCCATATATATATATATATATATATAATATATATATATATATATATATATATATATATATATAGATTCAAATGTTTCCAACAACTATTGTGTGCATCTAAGAACCAATCAGAATTAAGAAAAAATAAAATCATTAATAAATCATAAAAGGATATAATAGTAATCTATACATTTGGTTATATGGAAATTCCTAAGATATTTGACAAATTCTCCTTAAATCACGTCATTCTACATCTCAAAAACCCTACTCCATGAACCGATCACGTCTGCAACGATTCTCCCCCTTCTCACTGTTTTCTTTTCTCTTAACTATCCTCCAATCGTCGAGCCAACCTCACCATCGACGACAGCAACCATCGATTGTTGCCTTCCTCTAGTCCCATCTTTAATGCCTCCTTCACTCCGTCAACATCCTACTCCTTGTTTAATCACCGATCGCTGCCACCTACTCCTTCCCCTTCATCGCCATCAATCACGACAGTAGTAGTATCAGGTAGGTTTTTTCCTATTTTTTTTTTTTACTGAAATTGTCTTTTTTTCTCATTTTCCTATGATTTCATGAATCTTTCTCATGCTTGCGGTGCAATTTTCTGGTGTTGTGAAGGTGTTTGGTGTTTAATACAACTTGTTGAAGGTGTTTGGCATTATATTTCGAGGTAAAGCTATGACAATTGGATAATACACACAAGGTTTTCGATAGAATACATAAGAGATGTTTCAAGCCAAATTCTCAGTAATTGACTAATTCCATATTTAAAACATACTTTCTAGTAAGTTTTACAATCAACATGCTTGTGAAATATTTGACCAGTTATGTCTGTGGCAATGATGAAATTTCCATGCAAATATTGCTAACACACCCATGTATTCTTCCATATTCTATATTGTATTCTACCAGAATATATATCAAGATTTTGAAGAATTTATGTATTATTAAACTTGTAATTCTCAGTAGGATACCATTAATGTTTGTTTTTTTTTTTTTTTTTTACTTTTTCTCTCTTGCAATGCATAAAAAAAACCCAATTGGTGTTATTTTTTATAAGAAATTAATGTATTATGATGTGAAAGTTGAGTATGAGGTGTGAATGGATTTGTGTGTATTCTGTCAGAATTTATTTATATAAATCCATTCTTTCAGGATGTCTTTAAGAATGTTTGTTAACAACAAGTATATTTCCTTACCTTGTAATAATTACGAGTAATGCTTGTTATTCTTTCAGAATGCCTTCAAGAAGGAATCAAATATTGATCATACAAGAGAAAGACTTAGAATAGAGTTCAAAAACAAGTATATTTGCGAAGAATTACATTCTTATGATAATACATCACATTTTTGTAAGAATAATTGGAATCAAGTCGATTATTTGGACCACTAAAGAAGATTAAGTGCATTTGTTCAATAATTGTATATTTAAGAATGCAATTTTGTAAAAATTTTATTCATTATTTATTACATTCTGTTAGAATATGTGTAATTATATTAAAATATATAAGACTCTTATTTTGTAAAAATATGCATTATTTTGTATTCAAGTTTGGATTTTTATGAATAGATATAAGAATGTTCTTATTATTCAACTGGGGGTTAAAAAAATGATTCTTTAATAATATTCTAGTAAAATACCATTCTGACAGAATCACAGAACATCATTCTAACAAAATAACATTGTGATACAATAAAATCGGTTTATACTTACTAATTACGTTTCAAATTTGAATTAATATAAAAAAATCAGATTTTTTAAATCAAGAGCATTAATTATCTCCTAAATCTTGAATTTTCCTTTTTTAAATTTGTCTTAATTGACTAAAATATCTTCATAATGGATTTAGATGGTATTTTTTTTGTGTTAGATGATATTTTTGTGTTATCTTTAATTTAATAATATTTATTAATCATTTACTTAAATAACTGAAATCAGTGGTCCATAATCAACCATACATGCACACAATACTTATCAAAAACATAATAACCTAACCTTATATATATATATATATATATATATATATATATATATATATATATATATATATATATATATATATATATATATTCCATGGGTTATAGATAGAAATAGAGTCATGTGGTGCTTAAGGCGCTGGGTAATAAACAACATGTTGCAAGTTTGAAAGATGCTTTTTTTCCTTCATTTTATTTTGACAGTCACTTTAAAAGCGTTGCCTATGGTTTAAAACTCAGCCTAATCACATCTACCATATATGCATTAACCATTCTCATTCTTTATTGAAGTTATAACTTTAAAGGGGTGTTTGGATATATTAGATTATAGCTTATTAGCTTATTTGCGGTGCGAATAACCAATACACAATAAGCAAGGGGAGATGCTTATTAAAATCAGCTTATTTAGCTTATCCCTACCACAATAAGCTGATTTTTAAAAATTCCTATCGAAACACTTAAACTTAGCTTATTGTGGTGAGAATAAACAATAAGCAATAAACACCCTCTTTTTTCCCTCTCCAAACACCCCCTAAGTCCAATATCGCTTGTGGGATCAAAACAATAGCCATCTTCGGTAGTTTTATACAATATGAGGACTTGATGTGGTTTAAAAAACAGTTTGAAGTTTGATCTACATCAAACTTTTAAAGTGACTGTCAAAATAAAATATACACCGAACTTTTAAAATAAAACTGAGGACTTGATGTGGGATCAAAACATGAAGGGTGTGTTCGGCAAAACTAGCTGGAAGTGGGTAGCGGTTAGCTGGTAGCTAGTAGTGGGTAGCGGGTAGCGTTTGATTTTGGAGCGTTTTGTTGAAAGCTACTCCATATAGTTTTTGATTTTGGAGGGTTTTGTTTAGGTTAAAAGCTAAACGCTCCTGTCGTCGAACGAGACTTTTTTTAACTAGCGTTTTCTTAAAAGCTAGAAGCCAGAAGCCTCCAAACGCTGCGTGCCGAACACGCCCGAAGTTTGGTCTACATCATAAAACTTAAACGAAACCTGGAAAGTCGAGTGAAAAACCGATAAACCGAACTGTTGGTTTGGGTTTTGGAAAATAAATAAATCTGGATTTACCTACTGCTATATATTCCTATGTCTATCCCTGATTGTCTAGACTCGTATTTTGTTCAGAAATTATAGATCGATAGCATATTGTTATATTTAGTAACTTGACTAATCAATTGTTCCATCCAAAATTTTTATAAACTAACATAGCTCTAAAGTCAAATAGCTACAAATAGATGGGTCTTTAAATGTACTAATGATACATAAGTACCCACAACTGCTACTATCAAACCAATTAAGCCAACGAACCAAACAATAATCATTTCCATCCCAATTCTCTTGTAAATCCCTGAAATCTTTAAGTAGCACAAGCACGGTATTGTTATGGAAGCCGTGGCACTTAAGAGCGCTCCCACTAGTGACATTAGATTCCCAAAGACTACAGTACTTATCATCAAGATTGTTCTAATAAGAAAGCTACACTTTCTTTTGTTGCAGAAAGATTGAAATTGTGTCTCAATAGTATCGACAATTGGTGTTAACATTAGAGCATATTTAGCTATGGGAGTAACGAGGGTGGTGAATATTGCCACCCTTGAGCTTAACTTGTTGGTAGGGAGGTTTAACGTAATCTCTGACTCTACTTTCGACCCAAACATAAGGTAACCTATAACTGCCATTAATGAGTAAGTAATCGTAGAAAAGGCAAAACAAAAGAACAAGACCTGCAGTTTAGAACAACAAACCAACTTTAGTAATGACTAAACCCTCAGAATTTATATATATATTGTTGAGTAGACAGGAAATCACCTTTGTGAATTGGCGTTGGTTTTTCATGGAAGTATATAGGGTCGGAAAAACCGGATGAGCACAGTAGCAAAATGCATATAAGCTAATAGCCGATGGGACTCCATTCCATTTGACGATATTACCCTTTTCTTGAAAACCGATACCATCAAAGGCACCGGCCCAAAAGACGGAGCATAGGATGATGACAGAAGCTAGAACTCCACTGGCTGAAATGTATGACAGAATACTCATGTCGTTTAACAAACTTGTAGGGAGTATAAGGATTGCAATAATGACAATAAATGCAGTTTTGGATCCAATACGAGTGCCATAAATATCAAAATCTATTTCTGGGAATAATTTGCATAAATTATCGCCTTCTAGGATCAAGAAACCTGTTGCGACTAAGTAGAGTTCTATCTTCATGGAGATTGATATCAGAGTTCTCCCTGCTTTCCCGAATGCTCGTTCCCCAATGTCGGGATACGTTCTTATTGTTGGATCTGAATCCATGCATCTTTGGATTAATAATCCTGTGAAGAAGGTTGAGCTGGCAATTACGAGAAGGAGAATTAAGGTCAACCACCCTCCTGATGCCAATGCGTATGGAATCGAGAGTATTCCGACTCCTGAGAACCCATCAAGAAACAAAAGGAGGTTAAGTATCTTTAATATGCAAATAACTATCATAAGGAAATAAGTGAAGAAATTAAGAACCTGAGAGAGCGTTGAGAGCATTGAAACAAGTACTGATGAAAGAAGCAGTTCCTATCGCTGTGTTGTTGGTGTATTGCTCCTCTTTTCCCTTCGTTCCCACGTCTCCATTGGTAACAAGTAGTGGTATTATAAGAGAGTAATCATCTTGCTTGTTGACATGATCCATTGATTCCAACTGTTTACCTCTTGGAAAAAGAGAGAAAAAGGGATGTTAAAGGGAGGTGTGCACGATCCGGCCACTCTTGGACAGGGAACATAATTCTGCTGAGTTCGTGACAGTTATTTTGTTATTTTTCAATGTTGATATAATACAAACTAAAAAGTAAAGAAATCTTAATAAGCAATCACGTGTTAAGTTTATTTATTAAATTTATCTTCTTATTTTGTAAACGACTCTAGAAGGTTTTGACTTTTAAAGGTAGACTCTAATGTGATATTAATTTCTCTTTTGGTTAATATCATTAATTATAACAGATAACGTCTACCGGCGGAACGTGTCGCTGTCATATTTTAGTTAAAATCACTACTACTTTAATTTGTCGTTAATGCCTATCGCCCGTAATATGTTGCTCTATTTCGCCCTCATTTCTACTAAATTCTTTAAAAAATAATTAACATATTATTTTTCCAACAACGAAAAACGTTTTAAATGCAGAAACAACACCAAAAAAAGACAGAAAACAACATCAGAAAAAACACAAACTATTACTAAAAGAATAATGTTAAAGATCTTTGTTACACGCAAACATCTATGAAACATTGAAGAAAACATCAAAGTACTTGGACGTGTTATCATTGACACCCTTCTCGTTATTGCTCTCACTACCGCTGGTGTATGTGTGTGGCTCGAAAAAGTAAGTATTAGAGCTCGAGAAGATGGCTCCCAGTACCACTATTATTTTTGGTCGAAAACTCAAACATGTCTCCAACTCTCACTCCATATGCTGGGCCTTTAAGAATAACATCAAAAAAATTTGTTTAAAAAATAAACATGTACAATCATTAATCAGAATGACAAAACATTATAAACTTATAAGTTATGTTGGGATTCACAAAATTTATGTTTTCTGTTTGAGTTATGATGGGAAAGGGAGTTCATAGCTGTATGCTTTGAGTTATGATGGGAAAGGGAGTTCATAGCTGTATGCTTTGAGTCTTCACTTGTGTATGCCAACAACTTTGTCTGTGTTCATATTTCTTGTACTTAGACTTCGTAGGTCTTGTTAGTTTGTTTCGACAACTGTAATAGCTTAAGTGTCCTGACCTCATTGCTCAAATTAAGCCTAACCGACTTCCTTTTACTCACTATATAGGGTAGTTACTTAGTGGTAGAGAGTATCTTTTGAGAGACTTCTTACATCATTTTGTAATCGCATGTTGCATGTCTTTTACTTTGTAAATGAAAAACCAGATCTTATTTACATCAATGTGCTCATTTAATTTTGTCATGATATTGTTAATTTCATTCTTATAGAATCTATCGATCCTATCAAGTGGTATCAGGAATTTCACTGAGCTCATTTTCAAATCACAAAAACTTTCGTGTTCTTCGAGTTTCTGTTTTTCAAATTTAAATTTTCTAAATCTATTATGTATTTTGCAATTCTTTTTGCAATTTGATCATAAATTCTTTGTTCAGATTACTTGTCTTAATTTGAAATCTATGTTGGCCCATTGAATTTATTCTTACTCAAATTTTTTTGAAATCATGTCTAAAGACGATTCTCACTCCGTTTCCTTCAACTTACCTAGTAGTATAGGGTCTACTACTAGAATTCCAATTTTGTATCCGAAAGATTATAAAGTTTTGGTTATGTATTTCGAATATTACATTACTAGAATTGAAAATCATGGTTCAAGCATTTGACATGTTATCACCAAAGGTCATCATCAACGTTCAAAAGCTACTAAACCAATTCTAACTCAGACTAATTCGGAAGAATTGGTTACTGAAGTCAAAGATATAGCCTCATATGAGGAACATAGACTTTAAAATAACATAAATGCTAAAAGACATCTTCGATTTGCTCTTCCACCAGATACATTCAAACTCATAAGTTCGATGGCTACTACACATGATATATGGAAAAGACCGGAGGAATTATACTCAGGAGATGAAGATCAAAAAACATTAAGACAACTCTTCTTTCAGAATTCAGATCTTTCAAACAGAAGCCAAATGAAACTCTTGATCAAATTACTAACATATTTAATCATCTGTTAGTAGGATGTTAAAATAAGATTTAAAAAGGGAAGATATTGAGCAGAAAGTGACTTTCATGAATGGATTAGGATCAGAATGGAAAGTACTGATAGTTTCTACTGTTAAATTTCATGAATAGTTTAAAAATTACTTTCTAACTCGAATGATTGGCATTCGTAAATCACATGCAACTGAATTCTCGAGTTAAGTGAAGCCAATTCCCAATAGAGGACCTCTAGCGTTTGTTGCATAAGAAAAAAATGCAAAAGTGGTTGCTAAAGATTCTGATTCGGATGCTACTGATGATGAGTTCAATAGTAAGGAGAAAGATTTAATAGTTATTAATCCTAAGAAATTTTTCAAGAAGAATTTCTCAAGGTTTAAAAACAATATCTCTAAATGAAATGATAGTTGATGAAATAGTTTCAAGGGAAGTAATTAAAGTTTTGAGAAAACCAAGAATGAAGGATACAAGGGGTATCAAAGAGAAGATGAATGAAAGAAAAAAAGTTAGTTGGGGACCAGATTTGACTGTAAATATTGCAACGACAAAAACCATTTCGCAAAAGAGTGCATGTTAAGGGAACAAATTAGAAGAAAGAAAAAGAGAAAGATGAAGCCTTTTATGTACAGAAGATTGAAGATCTTTGTAAGTTGATGCTCACTGGAAAAGCATTGATTGCTGAAGAGGATGACAACGATAGTGGAAACATAACAGTATGGTCAACGGCTTCGGAAGACAATGAAGTTCACAATCAAACACATGGTGCTTACTATGCGAACAAGGTGGAGGACGTAAGTAGTGGAACGTGTTTCATGGTTAAGTGTGTCAATTCAAAGAGCTGGGAGTATTTCTCAGAAAAAGGTGTGAGTTCGGTTATGTGCATGTCTACAAAATCTGTTAGAGAGCATGTGGAAGCAAGTGAGAAGGTAATAGACAAGGTACATTCTATCCTTAAATATTTAGATATTCCTATTTCAGGTTATGATTTTAAGCTAATATGTAACATCTGAAAAATAACAACAAATTTGAAATTTCCAAAAACAACAACCAAAAACCATAATGTTTACAAAACAATTGTTTCAAAAGTGTAATCCGGTAATCACAGTATCCCAAAATCCATATAACATAAAAAACTGAAGGATGTACACGATCACGCCTTTGCCTTGCCATGGTCATCTAAAGTACTTGAAACAATAACTAAAATTATAAGCCAAAGCTTAATGGGTTCCCCCAAAGTAGCACCACATAACGTAACAAACAACAACATGCATACAGAGCCTTCAACTTGACTGGACCGCCGTACCGGGCCTTCATCCTATCTGGACTGCTCCCGGGCCTTCATCCTGACTGGACCGCCTCGCAGGCCTTCCGTCTATCCGGGCCGCCCTGGGTATCTGGGCCTTCAATACCAGCTGGTCTACCTCAACCCAGTAAACCATAACATATCGACATAAACAATCCCAATCAAATAAAAAAACAAACACATGTAATCCTACAGATCTACCAATCTAATCACATAACTAATAACCACATATATCCACATAACAGCATACAATAAATCAGGATATGTAATCCAATTGCCGGCCTTGATGCCTTCGACCCATAAGTATAGTGAGGAAAACTCACCTCAAACTGCTGAAAATCAGATAAATGTTCGGACTGCTGATCCGGAAAATCCCCACGCTAATCAATCAAATAAAACCCCAATTAATAATTAGGCCATAAATCATAAGTAGGAATCATTCTCATTTGTCCAACTTCCATGATGAAAGATCATTTTACCTTTTCCTCACTTAGCCCAATAAACCTAGGCCCAACCGAATGGCTCCAAAAGCCCAATATGACCCAAATTCCTAAATGACACCCCAAGCCCACTATGGGCCCAAATCCAAGAAGTCCCAAATTCAAAAAGACTAGTGGCCCAACAAGGCCCAAAAACCCTAATAGTCCAAATACGGCCCAAACCACAAAAGTCAACAAAAGTCAACAACTGCTGAGTACGCCCGGTGTACTCAGACTTACGCCCTGCATACTCATTTTTTGGGTTGTACGCGCTGCGTAAGATCTAGGTATGCTCAACATACTAAGAGGCGTTCATGATCGAGTACTCGACAGCGTACTCTTGCTTACGCCTAGTATACGCGCCCATTAAGCATTTTTCCATTAAGTGCTTAATACTTGCAACCAAACGTCTAAACTTCATATCCAAGTCTTGTGAAACGTCTTAATCCATAAAAGTCATGACCTTGGAGCCTTTGCATGGCTCAAAAGAACCCAAACCTTACTTTTAGCATTCTACTTTCACCAAATGGACCTAAACACATGCATGGTTGATCCACAACCATTAATATGCTAACTTTATGGAATAGGGACCTCAAAAACATCAACAGAAGCAACTCCTAACTTTTGGAGTGGAAGAAACCCAATAGATCTCATCATAGGACCAAAAAGGGAGCAAATCTTCCTAATGACTAGATCTAAGCATACAAGGAGCAATTTCCAAGCTTTATACCTCAATGAAGCTAGAAATGATGTGAGAAATCTGGATCTACAATGTAGCACCTGGTTCTTGGTACGTATTTCTTTCTAAGTATTTTTCATTTTTGGCCTTGGACTCGGCGAGTTGAAGGACCAACTCGCCGAGTAGAAGCGGGACGGGACGCGAAATTTAAGTGATGTACTCGGCGAGTCGTGTCCCGGACTCGGCGAGTAGACACTGTCTGGACAAAAACCCTAATCCAAGGGTTTGCACCCTATTTAAACGACCTTATGCAGCCTCCATCGCCCCTTTATGCTCCCAAACACCTCTCATTGAAACCCTAGCCATTATTGAAGCAATCTAAGGCATTTGGAGTGATTTTGGTGCTTTTGTGACCCAAGGAAGGAAGGAAAAGCTTGAACGATCAAGAGGAGACTAGAAGGATCCGATTTTGAGCATCATTTGCAGTCTACAGAAGGTATAAAGTCTATACCTTGTTTGTTCTTTTGATAGATCCCATTTTGTGGAGTTCTAGGGCTTTTCTAAGCCATTTTGGTTACCAACCATGATTGCAA